ATTTGTATTAGTACCAAATTAAGTTGTTAGAGAATGAATCGACTTGCTTAACAGATTTATTTCTTTATTTACCGTTGAAAATGTTTCAGAATAGAGTTGAGAACAACTTCACAGTAATATCTTATTCTTATATATATATATATATATATATATATATATATATATATATATATATATATATATATATATATATATATATATATATATATATATATAGTTGGTGAATTTCCATCGTTAGGTCTCATTGGGAACAAGACCACTCACACGGAGGTGAGTGCATCCAGCTGACGAGTCCCGAATAGAACGAAACGCACCTTCTGGATTCCAACGCTTACCCTTATCTATTATTAGTGTCACTGTGGTTGTTACTTATAAAAGTCAATAGATGATGTTAACTCTAACTTCACTTCATCTTTATTGTTAAACTGATCCTCCACTTTTATGTTTAACGGACTGATTGTTTATCAGTTGGTGAAGAATTCTAGTAATGAAAGTGATTGTAAATTTCAAACGTGATTCATCACACCAAATCATTTAAGAATTTCAAAGAAAAAAAAGTCACCTAGATGAATCTTTTCGCGCTAAAAGGTGCTTTTACTGGTTTTATGGTATCATTAACTTAACTCTGTTAAGTGTACCCAACTGCCTTTGGATAAATTCTGCAGTGGAATATGTCTGACTGATAGCTGCTATCTTGATATGATGGTTGGGTTTGAATATCTCTATGATCCAAGGAGCTATGCTAACTAGGTAATTGTTCGCTTAACATTTTGCCATACTAGACACCTTTGTTGAATGGTGGTAAATCAGAAAAAAACAAATATCATTATAGTGTAAGTTGCTACGCTATGATGGAGGTATGAGGGCGAAGTCTTAATGCTGGCGGAATGGCTTGCCGGAGCTGTAGTACTATACTACTAATACAATTCCTTTATCAGGTGCCTCAAGAAGAAGTAACCTTCTATGGTGTGGGCAGCTGGGAAGTGTTGATCCTTCTCATGCTTTTTTCATATCATTATCAACCTTCCATATCTTCACCTTCAGATCTTTCTTCACATCTTCCAGTTAATGTTCCTACTTTCCCTCTAACTTCTTCCAACCCTACAGAGCTTGGTAACTATCCGAGTTCACGAAACAATATCCTTGGTCTCCTGAAACCGTGCTCCAAACTACACATCTGAGCTTTCAATGCCCGCAATGTTTATCGAATCGGATAAGAAGCTTCCCTAGTAAAACCTGTGGTATCCTGGACGATGAATGCGTGTTATGTTTTTGAATTACGTATACAGAAAGCAAGTGTGGTTGTTAGCTTAACCTCATCTATATATAATGAATCTGCAAGATTCACTGCTCGACTAGGTCACAATAGACGGTCGTCTGTACACTGTTTGACTGAATGATGCACTGCCAGCTAAGAAGAATAGTGAAAGGCACCGTTGTGTCTTTTTAATTCCTGCTTACATCGGATGACTGAGTAAAGTGATGGATGATTTATATCGATCACTATCTATCACAATGGATAGGTGGTTAGGTCAGACAGAAAAGGAACTACACATCACTTTGGGGATTCCACGCAAACGAGCAGATGACGGCAATCGTCTGCTACAGCTGTACATACAAGATTTTCTATTATCGGGCATCACGAACTTCGGACATAATGGGAAGACATTATCTGACCTGGTGTTTACCAATATAAATTCAATAATGGATACAAATTGACTATTTCGTTATTATTTATCGCTGGAGTGGGTCGATGAGAGATTTCTGCTGCTTCGGGATATCTAAGATATCTTTGGACAGCGATCGCCAGTTTGTTTCAGGTAAACATATATCCGCTCCTAAGTGGATTCTGAAGACTAAAACCCCCTTACCGTTCCGATCGCTGCTTGATGAGTAAAATCCTGAGGTTGTTTTCATTGGGGATTATGTTCCCCAGTAACCGGAAGAGGACACTTACTGATCATGAAGAAGCTTGCTCCTGTCTCTAATCTCCTATGAAAGCAGCTGTAAAAACCGTAAATGATCCAAAAAATGTTAGGAAGGGTCGGTTGATTTCTGCAACTTCTTGTAAACTGGGTGATAATTTAAGGTGAGATGAAAATTTGGATCATGGCCGGATTCGAACCAGCGACTTTACTCAGTATAAAATACTTGTCAGCCAAACTGCAGCTATCCAAGATAGTTAAGTAATAATTTTTCTAAACTAATGGGTAAACGCAGATACATTCATACAGGTTTTGGTCACAATGAAAAGTAGATAGAACTCGATTCAAGCTTGACTAAGAGTTTTCGCAATGACCGTAAGCAATGGTCGGCAATGAAGGCTCAAGAAGACTTACGAAGAAGGCAACATTTAGCAGCGGGTAAGTTATTGAAACTTATCAAGGAAAATGTAACAAAATGGTGAATAACAGCTGAAATCTTAGCGGAGAAGATTGGGCCTACGATGCAACATCAGGATAGATGATTGAAATAATGAGTGGAACGCAGTGAGAAACAGTTCAGCTGGCTTCGAGCTAATATTTCGTCGCCTGCTATCCAGTGGGATACTGAACAGACTACTGAGATAAGACTTCCAACTCTTGCAGAGGTTGAGAACGCTGTTAGTAGTCTCAAACGAAGAAGGGCAGATGGGCCAGTACTAGAGGTATTTGATGACGGCGGTTGAGGAATATTAGGTAGGTTAACTAAAGTTTTAGTGTATGAGAGTCAGATGTGATCCCCTCTAACTGGTCTCAGTCACCGACTGCCCCAGTCTTCAATGAAGATGAAAAGTCCTCATGTAATGACCATTGGGGAATCACCAGACATCTGAGTGGAGTTCTGAAACAGCAAACCTGAGAAAAACAAACAGACTTCCGACGTGGACGTGGGTATATCGACCACATTCCCACTCTTCTAGGTTCTGGAACACAGACACATCTAAAGACGCCTGAGACTAGCTGTATTTCTCGACTCGAAGGAGGTATTTAACTTTGTTGATCCCTAGGTCTTATGGAAGTGCCTCTCATTGAAGGAAGTACCGAGTAATCACATCATTATGTTGGAAGCTCTATACTCGAACACCCTTCGGCGCGTAAGAACCCATGGTGAGCTGTTAAGTGAACTGCGTAGATTGATTGGTGTCTGTGAAGGATGCCTGTTCTTTCTATTTCTGTTCAATTTTATCATAGGAATGGATGTGGAGGTCTTCCTATCATCGCCTGACTTTACAGCGGTAGATCTAGAGTACGCAGATGATATAATCCTGTTAGATGAAGACCCTGACAATGATACAGAGCCTTCTGAGAATTTGAGAATGTTTTGGATGGGTTTCTCACCACTCAAATGTGAGTTTCTCCTCGGGATTACTCCTTTTTTGCACCTTATCTAACAATTGGGAGTGAAGTGGTTAATCGCACTGAACACTTCATTTACTTTGAAGGTCGGATGAACCATGTTAAACTAGTAACGAAAGAAAACTCCGCATGCATACAAAAGACTCGACTGGCTTTCACCACCAAACACCACTTATGACATGCGATTGCCTATTAAAAGTCGAATATACTGATCTGCAATTCGTTTTGTTTTGGTATCTGACTGTAATGCATTGTCATTAGTTCCAGAGGAAATTAGAAGGCCTCAGGTATTCTTTGATCACCGTCATCTTCGTAGCATGGGCCGTAAGTCATTGTGACACCATATTAAAAATGAAGTCAGGTATAGAGTTCTAGGTAAAATAGGTAAGTTGGTTAATGAGGTTGTGAACCTTCAGCGACTCGTGTAGCTGCAGCATATGTCATGCACGCCTAGTCAGCTCCTACTTCATCGCACATTATTGGCTGAAAAAGGTTCAGGGGGGAGAGACTATAATCGTCTAGATTAGAAGATGAAATCAGTTTCTGAAGTCTATTACTGTTAGTCTAAACTCTTTGGTTGGGGTCTGCATGACTTTGGCTATATTTTCTACCAGATGCATGTAATTCTTAGCACAAATGCCTACGGTTTCTTATTAGAAATTACGAATACTTCTAGCAGCTATCATTTGTTCATTCAAAGCAGATAAGAAGGTCATATTAATTTATTTTCCTATCATGAAAGCTTAAAATAAGGGAACTGTTATGCGTTACACGGTAATTGAGCTTTAGATTCCACTGTTAAGATAATGAATGTACTTATGTGATATTAGTATTCGATGTTCTTGGGAGTTTTTATATAATACATTACCTTGTTATTTTTACTTCACTGTAATATGAAGTTATTATGATAGGTGAGGGATTGTTATAAATACCGTCTGATTGCTGAGAATTTCACAAAGGAGTTTACGTTGTATTTCATTTACATACTAGTAAAGGGTTTGTGTTGTTTGGTACTTGTAATTTCCCGTTGCTATACTGGGTTGAATTGCTCGATCTCTCTATTAAGGATGCCTTGATACTATCAGGTGTTCTTGATGTTGTATTCATCTAAGTGATTAGCAGTGGAATCCGGGATGCGCGTCATCTGGAATGTACTTGCACTCCAGTGAATGATGTTGTTCCCTCTGAGAGTCGGACCCATTACCCATTGCTTCAGACGTCAGTGCGTTATCTACCAAGCTACTGGGGAACAGGAGCCACCTCTTCTGCAACTGGTATCAGTTATTGTTTACGGATAGTTGTAATTTCCCATTACTGTACAAGGTCGAATTGTTCGACCAATGAACTGGTGGGTAATGCTTTACCGTTCGAAGCGATTAATACTAGGTTCGAGTCTCAGTAGAAACAACGTCACTCTGCACTGGCATGCAGTTGCATCCATATGACGAGTCCAAAGTAGGACGAAACACGCATCCTGGATCCCAAGGTGAGTAAATAGTTTACCTTTAAAAGTTGATAACAGCTTTGAAGGTATGTATTCAGTAAATATCAGTAGATTTTATTTTTCTCTATTTTGTAATGAAATCTCTGTTTTAAATTAAATTGAACATGTTTACCGTATTCTCTGTATTTACTGTTCACTCCATTTGTTTATATCTTTAGATTGCAATGTTCATTGCAAATCAGTTATGCCAACCGGAGTTGGAAACACATTTACGCGTTTATATCTCCTATCTATGGGTTAATCGTTTATGTATACACACAGCAAAAGTGAGTTGTCAGTTGTTCTTGTTTTGGTGATAAGCTATACAATGTCAAAACTGTTTTGTAATTAATCACTTTTTCAATGGATAACTTTGTACAGATAAATATATAGATAAGATATCTAAAAACCAGGACAAACAGCAGGGGGCGATATTGGTACGCTTCTTAAGGTGAATTTCGTCAGTGATTACCAATTCAGTGATATTTATATGTTGGAATATATGTGCATATCAAATACGGCTATGGTAGATTATTGATAAAACAGCACGTGTGTTATCATTCACTGTACTGCTGCTTCGAAACAAGTTATAATGAGAAACCAAAACCTATAGGGTCAATCAGTCGGAAGTGAAGTAGACGCCAACTGGAAGACCTCTTTGGATTGTCACGCTATATCGCAAATTGAACTTCGACTCAGTGACTGAATAGTTAACGCGTTCGCTGCGAGACCTGGGGGTCCTGAGTTCAATCCCTGCCGGGGTGGGGTCACAGGTGAATACTGCCGAAGATTCTTATGATAGGATGAAACTGATATCCAGTACTCTCAGGTTTTCCATAGTTCTCCAACTGATGTCAGTCCATAATGCATATTATTGTAAACAAATTCTTACTGCGTGCATATATAGGACTCGACTGGCTTTCGCCAACTTATACCGTCTGCGGCGCAGCCACGATATTCGACTGTCTATTAAAGGTTGAGTGTACTTTGCTGTAGTTCACTCTGTTCTATCGTGTAACCGTGAAACACGGTCATGAAAAGTGGAGGAGATGGGCAGACTTCATTACCACCATTACCTTCGTAGCATAGGAAGTGTGTCGCGGTGTCACGGAGTCATTAACGCAGAATTCAAGTGAGGAGTTCTAGGGAGAAGAAGAAACTCAGTTGATAAAGTTGTGGGGTTCCATTTACTCAGGTAGTTGGAACATGTGTTATTCATGTGTAGTCACCATCTGACTGGTCATGCAATGTTAACTGAAGTATGTTTAGGCTGGAAAAGGGCTTGGAGCAACAAGGTTAGAATGGCCTCACTTCATGAAGTCATCGATTGTGACCGTTGGGGTCCACGTGATAATAGAAATAAGGGTTTGGAGACTATAAGTGGCATGGCTCAGAATCAATGTCAGTCATGCAGATGTATCCACACACTATCTTCATCTTAATCGTCATACTGAATTCAGTATCTTTTGTTTCCTCCTTCCTCTGTTTTACTGCTTTTGACCGATTCTTCTTCACTTCTTCATCTTCTAACTTAATGGTTTGTTATTTGTTGTATTGATGTAGGGTATGGCAACTTTGACAGTTACTCATTAGTACCTGGTCCTACGTTGATATTAATGGTAAATGTTTCATGAAAAAAAATTGCAACCAATTAACTGCAAGTTTGTGAATACAACACTGGGCAGTTTCATTCTGCTCATAGTTAGATAATGTGACTTTAAATGTTTGTTTGCACTATGTTGCATAAATTAATGATAAAATCAAGGCTGACTACCAAATTTTACTGCATTATATCTCATACTAGTTTTGGTCACTTAAAAAATACATTAGATCCTTATTATTATTTTTTTTTCCTTCTGATACTTGACATGTTTCTTAACCTGAAGGTGGGACTTGAAACCATCGACCATGAGGTGTTGTGGCAGTGTCTGACTGTGAAAGGGGTGCTGAGTAGGTATATGACGCTAATCAAAGCTTTCTACTCGAACCCGTGTTAGGGCTTACGGAATCGACGATAACTAGTGGTGTCCATCACAGATGCTCACTGTTACCGTTCTTGTTCACCTTCATCATAGACGTACTAATGGACTTAACATTAAGTGCGTGTGATCTACTCTCTGGAGGTCATCTTGGTGCCTTTGAGTGCGCAGAGGATATTGTCTTGATAAGTGAAGGCTCTGACAAAACCCATGGTCTTCTGAACGCGTTGAGCGGAAATCTATGTTCGATATTCGTCTTTCACCTTCCAAGTGTAAGATGATGCTTCAGGACTGGTTTGCTGCAAATATTCTCAGTTTAATAATAGGCAGTGAAGTGGTGGAATGTGTCGGCCACTTAACTTAATTGGGGAGCTCAAACGGGCTGGTTGCTGACGAAATCTCAGGTCGGGTGCATAAGACACGTTTGGCATTTGCCAACTTGAGCCACCTGTAGCTCCGGCCGAAAAGATATCCGACTTTCTATCAAAGGACGAGTATACTGCGCTGCAGTCCACTCTGTCATGAGACATGGTCGTTAAAGGCGAAGATATGAAGCGATTACGGGGTTTCGATTGCAAATGCCTTTCGTAGAATTGCTTGCATTTGTTGGAATCACTGTGTGAGCAAAGTTAAGATCGGGTGAAGGGTATTAGGCAAGATGGACAAGTTGATTGATGAGGCTATGAGCCTTCAGTGACTAAGATGACTTGTACATGTACTACGCTTGCCGGGCCACCATCTACCTCGATGTGCCATGCTGCCGGAAATTGGAGTAGACAAAGACGTGGCACCAATGCATAAAATCTCTTATTGTTGGTCTGAGTTGTATGGGGGAGATATAGACTGTCTGGTTGGGGTTCTCAAGACAAAAGGAATCAGTGGTCGAGAACTCTCGATTTCGTGGCTCAAAATCAGTAACAGTGGCTTAGATGTATTCACCCTTTGACATCTTTTAAAGCTTAAATATTTCCACTACTTGTTATCTTCAGATTGTTTATTTTCTCACACAACTTTGTCTACTTTGATAGCATTCTTTTTCTATCCACCTGCTTTTTGCTTGCTACTGTGGAATGTGGCAACGTGGGCAGATGCAGTTGTATCAGAGGTTCTACGTTGATTTTGTCTGTCTGTCTATCTGTCTTTCTGATTGGGGACGGTGATATTAAGCATAGGATAGTAGTGTACGAAATGATAATCTAAGAGTCCAAATCGCTTCCTACTTTTTTTCCTTTTGTGGTGTGGAGTTGTGGTTCACTGCTTTAGACAGTTGATTTTCAGTTAAGTTGGTCACGGGTTTGAACATCGCCACACCTACTGAGGTTTACGAAAAGTTAGGTAGTATTACTCATTCAGTTGGTGTGTACCGTCAGCATAGTGGTTATAGCTTGAAGTTCTATGATACGTTACTGTTTATGACCTGATTGAAATGTTTGCTTTAAAATTTTTGTATACTGCTTGCTATGTTTTCAGAGTGTATCTTTTTAGCGATTTATGAAGTTTATGGTTACAATTCCCCGTGAATCTTCTCTTATAATAATTACTTTCCTCAAACTTTATGGCTATCGATCATGTATTTTTTGATTCTCTGATTCATCTTCACTATACAGATGATACCAATCTGTTGATGAAAGATGACTGATTGACTGATGAAATCAACACATCGGCTCAAGTTGCTATACTTCACAGTTGTATATGAATAAATAAGTGCATAGAAAAAGAGTGATAGCAAAGTAAATAAACTGATGTGAGAAGATAAAGTCTCAAAATAACGGTTACTGAGAAAATTCAAGATATCAGAGGGTGAATGCATTTACGCCACTACAACTGATTTCCAGCCATGTCACCAAGAGTTATTAATCACTGATTCCCTTCGTTTCGGACACCATAACCAGGCAGTGTACATTGCCTCACACTACTCAGACCAACAGTAAGAGGCTTCGTCGACAGGTATAACGTCTTGACTCCACCATTCTGAACCATCTTCAAACGTTACCCAACTTCATCTAGCATGGCATGTTCAGGTAGATGGTGGCTCGGGGTGCGCTGTACATATCCAAGCTATTTCAAAGTCACTAACAGATTATAGGCTATTATGAACACTCCCAGTTAAGGTTATAGGCTATTTGCCTTGTGGTACGCATATGTTAGACAGTTCTTCAGGACTAGTATATATAGACATTTTATGTTAGCCAATTTTGAAGTTACATCTTCTCTTACTGGTGGGTTAACAGAATGTCTCCAGCAAATTCTCTTCATAATCACACAGTAGTCACTTCAGTATTGTCCAGTCTACACCAGTCCCCATGAAGTAATAAGATATCAAAATAGCTATCAAACAGTAAGTAACTTTACAGTCATGAGGCGTGGTTTTTCGATATCGCTCCCTTAGGATTTGTATTTGGTTATAACTTGCACATAGTCATAACTCAAAGTGAGTTACGTAGATATTCGGCTCAGATCATTTAGACAGTTGGGTTATGAACGTGTATCGGCTGAAGTGGCTAAGAAGTATGGTATCCAGAATACATAGCCACCTACTTTAACAATAACTGAAGATGCTTTATAATAATCAGAACATTAAATTTCATTAATGAGTGACTTCGCTATCTATTGGTCTACGTTATCTTGCTGTAGTCCATTAGATGCTAGAAATCAAAGGTTAGAAAAAAAAACCTAGGTGAAATGCTTCGAAATGTATGGGAGTAAAGCACATTTACCAACCCTCCACCTTCCTGACCTTCCTTAACATCCTGCTTAGTCTCATTGACATACCTTCCTCCTCATACGCATGACTTTGTCTTTGTATTACTCTTCTAGTAACTTACTCCTTTTCTGTCATTGTAAATTCGCACAAGAAATAGCGATCGTGACTCAGTGGTCTAGTGGATGATGCTGTGGTGTTTAGAACAATCCCTCTTCGGGTTAACGTCTTAGAGGGAACAGCATCATTCACCGGGAGGCAGATATATCCAGTTGATGAGTCCTAAATAGAACGAAACGCGCCTCCTGGATTCCCTTGGTAGCCACTCTCCGTCATTACCATTATAAAGTGCATCTAATTGAACATATTCACATTTGTACGAGCTTCTTGTCTGTTGTTTATTAGGTTTACTTCTACTGCCTTGATCTGTTTTTGCCGTAAATTTCTTTTGGCTTTATACAATATTGCAATTTATAAATCACATGAAAGATGATGTGAAGAAATCAAAACCCAATCTATTGATAGAAAAACAATATATGATTCTTCATAATACGCATGATGCTTCTAGAGTTTTAATCATAAGGAGACGAGAGTAATTTGTTTTTTA